ATTCCACCCCTAAGGTGATAAATCAACGCGGTCGAAGCCGCGGGCAAAAGCTAGTATTAATTTAAAATGGAAAATGTATCTGGAATAGTTAGGAGTTTCCTAATAAATTAAGATTATTGCCAATTTTTTTATCGAATAATAAAAATCGACGTGAAGAAGTAATGTATAAAATAATATGAATAAACGAACATGCAACATAGTATCCACATAATATTGATAATATAATTAGCCACAGTCGAAGTATCGGAAGTTTATAAATAATATTAACACAGTAAATACCCCGTTTAATGTCTATGATTGCTTACAATTACGTTGCTACTTTCAAGCTAATTAATTCCCTTACCTAGCCTCTAGTATCTCTACCCAAAATATTACGATAAACGTCATGATTAGTACTGAGTTTATATTCCTTCGGGTTAAGCGATTGGAGCATCTAGAACTGTGTAGGAAACAGTAACAAGGCTGGCTGTAACATAAATCTGGCTCGGCGGGTCGGTCGCGCGGAACTTTTTGAATTATTAGTTTTAATTTCCGCCTAAGATCCGCCGCGTCCCCGTATCTGTCAGCGTGTATATACAAGGCGCGGATGTGAATGTATGTAGGTATACGTTCGGATTGCAGAAACAATCAGGTATGAGTTTAATTTTATCGTAGACTAAAGTATGGATGCGGATATTAAAAATACACTTACCATTTTACCCAATGTAAATAAAATAACAGACATATAACCAATTCTTCTTAAATTCTGTATATAAATACAATTATGTCTCATCTTTTCGAGATTAAAAATATTCTCTGTCCGTCCAATTGAATCAAACTTAAAAATACCTAAATAAATGTATATCTACACACTACCGCATTTAGAATAAGTATTAGTATGGATTTATTGAAAAAACAGTTAAGTTAAGAAGCTATATCGGAAATAAAAGATAGAATTTGCCGTTAATTAAAATAAAAGCCAGTGACAGCAAAAGTAGGTAACTTGTAAGAGTAACTTTTTTAATTATTTCAACACCTTATTCAACGTTGAAATGGAGAACAGACAGACAGTTCTCTTAGCCCATGATTTTAAAAAGTTTTTATGTAGATAATTATTATATAATTAATAAATTTAATAAAAAGAAAATTATGTAGATATGGACGCATAAAACTCGTGTTTCATAGATCAGATTATATACACTTCTATATATAAGATTTTGAAACAGATAGAACTAGAATTAATAATTAACTGTATATATCACTTACTGTTGAAATATTTGAAATGAAGGTAAACGAATTTATTTATTATAAGTTTTAATACGATAGGAACGACTTATAAAATATGTACCTATACATACATGTCCCCAAAAGGGGATAAAATAGGTGATGAAAGTTTGTATGATCAATTTGTCAGTTTTATTTAAACATGTACATAATAGCTATGTATGTACATGTACATATATGTGCGTTCTTGTGAAATAATCTATCTTCATATCGACCTATATTAATATCCAGTCAGTTTTTTAGTTCTAAAAAGGTCCTAAAAATAAGAGACGCGCTACGACATACTTTTACAGTTATAATAAGTATTCTTTGCAATTTACGTGTATTGTACATATTATTTTACGTGTAATGTCTTATTTCCTACTAATATATATGGTTAATAATATTCACAGTACTTTTTTTAAAGCAGAAGTAGCATTGGTTGTGTAAATTTAAGACTGTGGAATTGATTTTAATAAAATCTGAAACTACACTAATAATATATTATTAATCTACTAAAATTACTAGATTATTAATCTAGTCTAAGATTTTTTTACTATATATAAATATTTCTTATATAATTATTAAAACGACTACACCTTTAGTCACTCTATTTTGCGTCGGTTGTATTTTCCGTCTCCACTATTTCCTGTAATTTTTTTTCAGCCTAACTAGTAATAAATGGATGTATGTAAAATAAGTACGTAATCCAAATAGCATTTACTTTTTGTCTTAGACTTTTCATTATTTTTCTGTATCAATAATGACGACACATAATATTAATATTCCTTAGATATTAAATCGAATACGTTCTAGCTCTGTGTTAAGATTGCATTTTCTATAAAAATAAATAATATATAGTAATAAGTGCTACTAATATGTATTATAAATGCGGAAGTGTATGAGTATGGATGGATGGATAGATGTTTGTTACAAAAAGTACCGAATGGATTTTAATGAAACTTTACAATAATATTAGTCATACATCAGACTAACATATACATAAGCTATAAATTTCACGCGGATGAAATCGCGGCCACAGTTAGTACCTAATACATTTATACATATTTCCTTTATATCTCATACATACCTTACCCATCAAATAATTACTTCATAAACAAACGTGCATGGTGTTCCTAATTATTAATATAATATAATAATAGACTGACAATAGTCAAGTATCTTGCCAATTATCCTCACATGAAACCACAGCTACTGGAGAATAGATTAAAAATACATATTTAAAACTGATATTACTTATTATAAATAACTTTGTATATTTACCCACATTTACCTACTCATTTTTGTTTGACAATAATAATGGAACGTAGTAATATTAACACCCCTTATATATTCGATCAAGCACGTTCTTAGCACTCCATTAAGATTGCAATTCCTCTATATTGAATGGAGCCGTAATTATATACCGTGCATCGCCACCGGGCAAGCCGCTGTTGATTTTGTGGCCATTGGAGATCGGTATGGAGATACGAGAGATTAACACATGCGCGTAATATACAGCTAGATACGTGCTATATAATAATTGCATCTTGGAGTAATAGAATAACGGTAGACATATTATATATTTAACCAAACATTAAATTAATTTGTTATTATTTATAATTTAAGATTTTACCTTGTCCGCATTAAGAGTACACGTATCTTGTAAACTTTACCTATTTTCCGCTTAAGTAAGTTTATAAAATAAAAACTTTGATTACGTTTAAAAAAAAAATATTGTGTAAGAATTATAAGCTGACCAATTGCAATTTTAATCAAAATACGTCGGTATGGAAAGTAGTAGGAAAGTCGATACAACATACGAATAAAGGCAAACAGCCGATAGGATTAATAAATTTGTCTAGTGGAAACGCCACGCTTTCACCGTACTCCCTTTTTGCGTGTGTTTCCACATTTTTCACGCTATAAATCATATTTTTTCACCGGTAGCGCTTTTTGCGCTGGCGTCCTTTCCGTTTGCTCGAGCGTACTGTCATTTTTTTCACTCGGACATGGGAGTTTGCACTTGGTCGTTTCGCTTTTGTTTTGTACAGAATTTATGATAAATGCCGACCACGAATGAGGCTCAGGTTGAGTGACCCGGCCGCTGTTTCACTTATTAATATCTACTTCATTCTATAAACTGAGTGTACAACACTTCAAATTAAGTGGGTTTTGACACGACGTCAATTAAGATATATTATTTTATAGATTTTTATTATAAAATGTATTAAATATACATAAGATTGTTATCGCAGATGGGGTACTTAGAGGGATTGTTAATTGTCAACGCCATGGTGCACGCAATACTTAATATCTAAGATTTCATTTCGTTTGGTAGGTAGGTATATTCCAAAGAGCCTACTGCTGTAATTAGGATTAATTTAAGGTTCTGTTATCGCTGATTCATGTATAGTACAGTCAATCATAAATATAAATTAACACACAAAGTTTGTTTTTTTTTTAGTTTCGGTCGGATAGGAACTCACAATGTTTGGAGTATAAGTAGGCCTAGGTTCCCTTTACATTTACATTTAGCATATATTGTTAATTCACTGTTAATATTAATTATGTTAAGCAAATTCTATTTACTCGGATGACAAATGCAAATACAGTGAGGGCGATGGAGGAACACTTAAAATCTCTCATCGCTGTAAATTTTAATTTAGCTACCACAATTTAATTTAATTGCCAAATCATTAAGTTAAGCACAAAAATATTAGTCGGCACTAGCGTCGGAATTAATAGCCGGCCGAATACAAATAAAGAAATCAATGACGTATCTATCTTATGGAAAAAATGGCGGGGACTCTACATTAATACGTGGCCATAAATTAAAGCGTGGCTTAAAATTAAGACAACAAGCCTCTTTAATCTACAATAAATGGTGGTCGTCGCTCCGAGACCGGTTTCAGAGATGGAGGCGCAAAAGAAAAAAGAATAATCCGGTCCGGAGCGGGTCCAAAATATGATAGGCATCCATAATACAACATGGCCGCTAAGCTCCTATATCGGTCTGCGTTGCACTTAAGTGGAATGTATATAGCCATCTCACTTTGTTAAGGTTGACCACATGTGGAGTGTTCCGCTAAGTCTAACCTTGATATCATACTCTCTGCTGTACGGGGTGTCCTTGAGACGAATTTTATATTGGAACAAATTGTTTCCTGTTTTGAAACTAAATTTATAACAGAGTATTACGTATTGATAATTGTTACGGATTTTGGATATACATAATTATTTACAATTAACTATTTGAACACTCATTAACAAATAAAAAAAAATTAATTGAACATTAATCACTAATGTTAATATGATGATAACAATAGAATGTTATGGTCAATATTAAAATACCGTAATTCACATTTAACATAGTTAAAAATATATCATATTCTGGCCCATGTTGAATTTATAAAAATTTACCTATATATTCCATATAAAGTATAATAGGTATAATATAGTAAGGAGTATAATTAATCAATAGTAATTTTATTATGCTTTACGTATAAAGAAAATGCATAAAAATACGATATAAATAAGTGACACAAACAGGTACACCAAATTAATAGTTTAAAGACTTTAGTTAGCTTGAGACTCGTATCCCCACAACATCCTATATACAAGTCGCGCAACACCGCGACTGTACCGCCCCGTCCCATCGAGCATTCCACATTATTACTAACACCATCTTATAAATAAAACCGCTTATGTGCATCTACCTGATGCCACAAATCTACGGGAAAATAAACTGGACATACCTTGTTGACATCTTTCTTTGAATAATGTTAATGTGATATATGTAGCAGATATGTATTATATTTCTCTCTTATCGATGTATCTGTCGGAGTATTAGTCACTTTCTAATCTGTTCCTTTTTTAAGTACATGTTTTTAATGTAGGTATAGTATTTTAGTAATATTTGGTACAACCTCATTATGTAATTAATATGTTAAATTATTGTTTTTTTAACAGTATACACATATTATTAAAATTATAACACTAATTTTAGTTATTAACTCTATTTAATTTTCACTGCAACTTGTACGAACAACACAGATCATGACAACAGACTGGGTACTGAACTAAAATGAAATCGAAAGTGTAACATTTTTTTTTCCATTTGCGAATTATATTCAAATGTTTATCAGCAGGTGGTCAATTGTCGCACGCTTCAATTGTTTAGAATCATATTCAAATTTACAAAGCATTCAAAACAAATGTGTCCACTTTCGCTCGCATTCTTCGCGATTCGTTACACTTTGGCTTTTAATTCCTTTTGAATTCTTCTTTTGAATGAATTTGTTTGAATTTAAATTTGTTTTGATGTTTGCGGCCGTCGATGCTGTTGTAAATTAGTAAACACTTTCTTTTAAAAAGTTTAAATAGAAAGTACCTGCATATAGCTACAAATTGTAGGGTTGAGTTTCTATTGTGTAATATAGTAAGGTGCAACAGCATAAAACTTATTCTATTTCGCACGTACCTACGTAGTTGATATATTTGACTTAGTGGAATGCTATTTTGAAAGAGTTTTATCTGAGAGACAAAGTAAAAGTTTTATTTAGAAATTATTTATATTCATTATTATTTTTATATTCATTATTTACCTTCATTTAAATAATTTAAGAAATTTACGTGTAATGTGAATTCTTATAATTTCAAAATATACAAAATAAAAGCTCTAAAACTTATATCTATTTTAATGCAACTAAATAAAAATTGGTTTTATGATAAAACTAATTATGTATTATTATAAGTAATATTTAAATTTAATTATTTATTTATTTAAATAAATTGGAATATAAAATTTTATACAAAAGTTTCATTATATAATTATATATCCCACCACAATTATATATCCAATCACCATGCACCTCTTACTATGCGGCTTCTGGTGGAATTATTAAATTATCTTTTATAGTGATATTTTATAATTCATTAAATTTATTTAAACAATTTTATTTTAGAAAGGAGTATGTGATAGTTATGAGCGGAGTGTTTGTGTTTTGATTCACTTATATACTTATATTAATATAAAAATATGTTACAAATTACATATTTTTACAAAATATTATTTTAGAATAGAGAATTTGATTTCACGGTAAACATTTTTTTTAATTTCCTTCTTTAACAATGACCTATTTGATAATATCATACACATCTGTTGCTAAGGCATTTATTGGATATAAAGCGATACGGTATCCGAATGCATACAATAAATTTGCGTAAAATGTATAATTATTTTTATAAAATATGCTTAACTTACAAACATATTAAAGAATATAGATATATTACTTATGATAAGAATAAAAAGTTTTTTAACACTGATATATTATTATGCAGTAAGTATATTTGTTTCATGTATATAAGTAGGAATATTAAATAGATTTAAAATAGGTTTAATTGTATTTAGTTAAATAGATTATTAACGAATGATCTAATTATGATCACTTGTTTTACAATATTTAAAATAAAGTTAAACTCTCTATTCTTAAAGTAAGGCATAATAATCTTTATTTTTTTTAATAACTTAAGAAATAATATTTATAGAATATTTTTCAAATCTTTCTATAACGTACATCACATATAAGAGTACCTGTACACAAAACAAGGAGTGTTGTGATAGGCTTCACCTTCTATTTCGAGTAGGTACTTGATCCAAAATGTTTGAATATAAGGTATACCTACTTCCCTTCATAATAATGGTATGAAGGGTGCATTACTATAATAATTTATCAAATTAAAATTTATCCTCAATGTTACATAATTACAGATGTTATACCAGGAATTATGTCAGATTTTGGATAAAACAATTAACATTATGGTGATGTAATTGTTAGTATGTCAGTAGAATTTATCTATCTCAGTAGGCCAATACTTACTCATTTGCGGATTTCTGCGTTGATGAAAAACACCTGAATTAGGACAATAAGATTGTGGTATTTGTTGAATAGTTATCAAAAAGTCTTTATACTATAGATATATTTTCAAATTCATATGTTTGTACAGAAATATTTTAAATGTTGGTAAGTAATTAAATGAAAGCTACAGTATATTAATCGCTCTGCCCAAGCACATGAGTGGTGTGCCTTAACTGCAACTCATTATCACGCCATGCCAGCAATAACAGATGTTCTCAAGCTATTAATACGATGCGAATTGACTATGTATAGTCCAGCATATTTAATACATATATTATTGCAAAAAATGGATAGAAATACAATATTTATTTGAGAACGTAGAAGGTAGAGTTTAGGGTGTTTCAACTGCAACCTGCCATGATCTTTTCACTGCAGAACGATGTATTTAATATTTATATCTATCTGCAGATATATTAAGATCATGAAATAGAAAACATTTTGGTATAATTGTGTGATATCTAGTGATTGTTAAGGCCATTTATAAAAAATGCTTAAAGCGTTATCTGAAAATTTTCAACAATATTGAATGTTTCTGATTTATTCTGATGTTTAAGATTTCCGTTCGAATGTTTTTAGAAGGTTCTTATTCTTGTGCTGCACTGAATGCTATTATGACAATCACAGCTTTATTGCTACTATTTTTGGCTGTGGTCAACGGTTTTCAGTTTCTGTATCTGAATGGTCCTCTTATATATATAATATTAATTTATGTTATGTTATTACACAGCAATGTGGATTTACGACAGACATAAAATATGCAAGCACTTTACCTGTTTTTTTAAACAATATTATGTATATTGTATTGGTTATATTTTTTTATAAGTATAAATTTTTCTCAGTGTGGAACCTAACGATGTTCTGTAAATTCTCTAGGGTAATTAATTTACTTATCTCTAAGTTTAATAATAAAATTTAGAATTGAGAATATCCATAAATTATTAATAATGATATGTTTAAATTAAAACCGTTCCTTATGTGGGCCCTTAAATACACCTGTTGTGGATATATAACTTTATATATGTATTATCATTGAGCTCAGATTTGCTATCAAAATCTATTTTTAATAAAAATAATATATAAAAATAAGTAAGTATTTCAAAGTATCAAACACACCTCTCAGAATATGTATGAGCTATTGAACCGTACATTTCACCCGTGTTGTAAGGGCAGGAAGAACAAAGCTCCTAATTCTATTGAAACACCATTATCTAATAACTCGATATACCATTCATCAACATGTCAGCCGAAACACGTCCCCACTTCCATACCATTAATCAGAATCTATAAATATTACTCTCCGACATTTGTGTATCGAATTTGGTTTCCTTTTTTGAGATATCATCGATTTAGTATTTGAATAACCTGCTTATAAAAAACAAGAAGTAACTCTTATCTTCAGTACAATTGATTAAATTACCAGAATGATAGATGGAAGATGACCAGAATGTAGATCATAATTGAAAAAATATAATTTAATAAATTTATCTCAAAATATTACTAAAACATATTTTAAAAAAATTGGCTACTTTGTGTAAAAATCTTCGTCAAAACCATAGCGTTACATGCACACACTTATATTATGATTTTAAATAACCGTGACATACATATATTAAACTCAGTACTTATTTCTAAAATCATTTTGTTTCAAGTACTGTGTTTAACAAAATTATCAATAGTGACAAATAGGATATAGGTATAGGAAGTTACAGTAAACCCGGTACAGATATAAAAACATAACGAATAATACAAGTTCAATATTTAATTTTAGTATTTTTATTCAAGTATTTTTTTAATAAATTAAGTTCAATATATTCTTATTGTTTTTTACAATTCATCTGACAATCTTTTACTTGTACATATATAGATAGATAGATATACATCCGATAAAAATATCAACATGTTATAACGATTACAGAAATGAAAAATGAATGAATAAATTATATTGATGTAAAGGTGTAGCTTTACGCATTAATGTAAATGAAGTTGGTGGTATCGAGAAATATCAAGGGGACGATATACTAATCATTCGAATGATCGCATAAGCAATTCGAAAACAATTTGCGTGTCGTTGAGCCGCCGCCGATCAAAGCGACTTACGAACTAATGCCGTGTATTTCTAAAAGCATTAACTGTAAGTGTCTGTACATAAAACTGATAGGTATGCAATATATCCGGCCGGATCATCAATCTGGAAGTGATTCGAATAACATCGCTACAACAAAGGTATCGATAAAAAGAACAATAGATAAAGTTGTTTTGTTGAGTTTGGTTTAACACCTCGCGGATTTAATAACAGTCTTGTCTAGATGAATAAAATATATGCTTGTTTAGTCATATTGTTTTTATACCTGAGGTACGTTTAATAACTCTAATTAACTATTAGAAAATTAAATTATTACAATTCATAGTAATATAATATATGTAAACGTTTGTTAGTCTGTCTGTCGGTTTCTTGTCTTTAAACGATTAAAAACAATTAATTAATTATTTTAAAATGCATATTCTGGAGATACCTATACAGAATCTAACAAAATATTTTTTGTATAATTAACCTGTTTATTTTCAAGTCAATGGTTTTTTTGTTTAAAAACCTACAGTAATTAGTCAAACGAAGCTGGGCCAATCTTTAATCTAAACAAAACAAAACCAAATCACTCGTAGGAAGCGAGATTATCATCAAACGTCAGTCCAACATGACGTGAATAATTCCAGTGATAGGGGGCTCTACCCTATTGCCGGGCATGCGGGCATTCCAGCCATGTACTACGGCATGCATTTCGTATTGCACGTTGCATGCCAAACGCTTGTTCGTGTTCGAGTATGTATTCTTGTGTGTCGACACCCATTTGTCAGGAATAGTCAGGATCGATCGCGTTTGCCATCACTTTAGCAAGGTGTCCTGTCTTTTATTTTTTTACGGTCTATGGCAA